TATTGACACCCAAAAGAAACCTGTAATATATATAATGTATGCATATATTTAATCATAAAAATAATTGCACTTTTATCCTATGAGAAGAAAACCAGTGTTTGTTTCACAGATGCTTTGGACAGAGAATCCTGAAGATCCATCCAAGTTAGAATTGTAGTTGGGGTGAATTGGGAGGTGGTGAAATTCACATGAAAAAGAATTGGTCTTTTCTCCTTTTATTTTGGTTTCTTCTCAAACTTTGCTCTTAATCAAATTCTCCTTTTGCACTACTGCCACCTATTGGTTGGTCTTGAAGAGTCAGTTGCTATCATTTAAGGAATCCTTGGGTAGTTTCAAATTTTTACACTTCTGACCCCCAAATTGTATAAAATGGTTTCTTCTTAACACTCAGGCTACTATCGACAGATGTCCTAATCCAGTACATAGCCATCTGAGAACAATTTTCATTTTAATTTGATGAGATAAGTGATCTGTCACTGCAGTCTTTTATTTAAGCTTTATGGATGCCTTTTGCTTTTCACAGTATATGTGCCCTCCCTTGCGTTGAACCCTTTCTTGTAACAAAGAAAAAAATATTCAGCAAAATCAATGGACACATTGACTGTACCTTCAGGGGTGTGCTACATTTTGTATTTGTAGCTCCTCGCCTTTCTTCTGTAAAAGATGTGCCGTAAAGCCCCTTTTCGGACTTCAGATAGCATCTCCACATGAAAAGGTCAGGTGTATGGCTAAGATGGTAGAAGAGGCAATGTCTCCTAGTCTTAACTTTGTCTCCATGCTTCCCATGTCTTCCCTTCCCCAAGAATTAAGTTTGAAATGGGGCTCCCCTTACCCCAAAATCTGATAATTATTGGGGAAATCGGTAACATAATGTTGGAGTTGTTATTTTGCATCTGGTATAACGATCACTCAGAACCAGAGGATTTAAGCCAACATTCCTTTTACTAAAATCATATTCCAATTTTTTTAAGGAGAAATAATTCTCAAGGGTTCAAAGCAATC